AGCGCATTTCCTACCCAATAAGACCGGGTGCTTATTGTATCTACGCAGCCGGCGGTTGAGTTGGGGGGAGGGGGAAGAGACAACATAAAATTTACTCTTCCAGTTACTCCACTTGGACGGCTTGTCCAAGGTCATCATGTACTCAGGAAGCGTGGTAAGAGTGTACCACGCATTCCACCCACCCGGCGCTCTGCTTAAATAATGCATGTGCGCAAATGCCTGCCAGCTTGGCTTGACACCCTGCAGTTCGCAGGCGGCTATATATCCAAGAATGTTGACCCATGAATTAGGGGTCAACTGCCATACGCCTAAGTCATACCCCTTCAGTATGGCTTTTATGCAGTGATGAAGGGGGAACCGGAGACCGGCTGTAATCGCCGCCTCATAGCAGCCAAAGAAGTTGTCGGCATGTTCAACGTCATCAGTCCAAACGACGCTTGCCTCTGCAGGCGGGACGACCACTTCCCATCCCTCTCCAACCGGCTTTTTCTGCAACAAAGCAGGGAGTGTGGCGTTCAAAGTGACCACATCCCTGGCGGACATGGTCATATCAGTCGGGTCACCCTTAGCCGGCCATTTATAGGCCTCTTCTTCAACGGGACCCGCCTCTTCAGAAGACTCTTCACTAGGGCTAGGGCCGGACTCCCCATTATCAGCTGACCCTTCTCCGGCTCCCTCTCCGGTTTCCTCACCGCCGGAATCAGAACTATCCAAGATACTGTCACCCGGGGTGCTAGGTGTACTTGGAGAATTTTCCGGAACTTCCTCACTAGGACCCACCTCAGCCGGTTCCTCGGCTTGTTCTTGATTTATAGGGTCAGCCGGGTCAGCGACTGCATCATCAGACTGATAGTCAGGGTCGATTGCCGTCACTCTGATCCGAGCCATTCTGTCCTGCACATGAACAGAGACGGTCGGATTCGATGTAGGTGAAGGTTGTTCCAAGCACCCCCAGACGGCAATCCCAGTCCTAGACTCAGTCGTCCCTGGTGACCGGCTGACCACAGTCGTAGGCTGTGCCGTGTGTGCATTGGTGGAGTCCATATCCTAATACTATACAACCGGAAATAAAAGAAAGTGAAGTGTAGGATGCAGGCGGTACCTATGAAAATTGCGATTCGCTAAAAAGGATGGCTTGAAACCTCCACAGGCGGAAGTCTCCGAATGTGTTTGAAGCTGAAATAAACAAAATGGGTCAGATATATATTACATGGACTCATTAACAAGACCCCCATACGGTTGAGTGCCGGATGGGATCTATTTGTAAGTTTGAGAAAAAGCCAAGGCTGCTCAAACCACCCCCATGCGGTTAAATGCCGGAGGGGGTTATTTGAATAAGGTTTGAGAAAAAGCTAAAGCTGCTCAAACCACCCCCATGCGGTTAACTACCGGATGGGGTTATTTGAAAGGAGTTTGAGAACAAGCTTAGGCTGCTCAAACCACCCCCATGCGGTTAAATACCGGATGGGGGTCATTCGAAAGGTGTTTGAGAAAAAGCTTAGGCTGCTCAAACCACCCCCATGCGGTTAAATGCCGGATGGGGGTTATTTGAATAAGGTTTGAGAACAAGCTTAGGCTGCTCAAACCACCCCCATGCGGTTATATACCGGATGGGGATCATTTGAAATGAGTTTGAGAAAAAGCTTAGGCTGCTCAAACCACCCCCATCCGGTTAAATGCCGGATGGGGGTTATTTGAATAAGGTTTGAGAACAAGCTTAGGCTGCTCAAACCACCCCCATGCGGGTATATACCGGATGGGGGTCATTTGAAAGGAGTTTGAGAAATAGTTTAGGCTGCTCAAACCACCCCCATGCGGTTAGATACCGGATGGGGGTCTTTGATTGGGGTTTTGAGAAAAAAGCCAAGGCTGCTCAAACCACCCCCATGCGGTTATATACCGGATGGGGGTCATTTGAAAGGAGTTTGAGAACAAGCTTAGGCTGCTCAAACCACCCCCATGCGGTTAAATACCGGATGGGGGTCATTCGAAAGGTGTTTGAGAAAAAGCTTAGGCTGCTCAAACCACCCCCATGCGGTTAACTACCGGATGGGGTTATTTGAATAAGGTTTGAGAAAAAAGCCAAGGCTGCTCAAACCACCCCCATGCGGTTATATACCGGATGGGGATCATTTGAAATGAGTTTGAGAAAAAGCTTAGGCTGCTCAAACCACCCCCATGCGGTTAACTACCGGATGGGGTTATTTGAATAAGGTTTGAGAACAAGCTTAGGCTGCTCAAACCACCCCCATGCGGTTATATACCGGATGGGGGTCATTTGAATAAAGTTTGAGAAAAAGCCAAGGCTGCTCAAACCACCCCCATGCGGGTATATACCGGATGGGGGTCATTTGAAAGGAGTTTGAGAAATAGCTTAGGCTGCTCAAACCACCCCCATGCGGTTAGATACCGGATGGGGGTCTTTGATTGGGGTTTTGAGAAAAAAGCCAAGGCTGCTCAAACCACCCCCATGCGGTTATATACCGGATGGGGGTCATTTGAAAGGAGTTTGAGAACAAGCTTAGGCTGCTCAAACCACCCCCATGCGGTTAAATACCGGATGGGGGTCATTCGAAAGGTGTTTGAGAAAAAGCTTAGGCTGCTCAAACCACCCCCATGCGGTTAACTACCGGATGGGGTTATTTGAATAAGGTTTGAGAACAAGCTTAGGCTGCTCAAACCACCCCATGCGGGTATATACCGGATGGGGGTCATTTGAAAGGAGTTTGAGAAATAGCTTAGGCTGCTCAAACCACCCCCATGCGGTTAGATACCGGATGGGGGTCTTTGATTGGGGTTTTGAGAAAAAAGCCAAGGCTGCTCAAACCACCCCCATGCGGTTATATACCGGATGGGGGTCATTTGAAAGGAGTTTGAGAACAAGCTTAGGCTGCTCAAACCACCCCCATGCGGTTAAATACCGGATGGGGGTCATTCGAAAGGTGTTTGAGAAAAAGCTTAGGCTGCTCAAACCACCCCCATGCGGTTAACTACCGGATGGGGTTATTTGAATAAGGTTTGAGAAAAAAGCCAAGGCTGCTCAAACCACCCCCATGCGGTTATATACCGGATGGGGATCATTTGAAATGAGTTTGAGAAAAAGCTTAGGCTGCTCAAACCACCCCCATGCGGTTAACTACCGGATGGGGTTATTTGAATAAGGTTTGAGAAAAAAGCCAAGGCTGCTCAAACCACCCCCATGCGGTTATATACCGGATGGGGATCATTTGAAATGAGTTTGAGAAAAAGCTTAGGCTGCTCAAACCACCCCCATGTGGTTAACTACCGGATGGGGTTATTTGAATAAGGTTTGAGAACAAGCTTAGGCTGCTCAAACCACCCCATGCGGTTATATACCGGATGGGGGTCATTTGAATAAGTTTTGAGAAAAAGCTTAGGTTGCTCAAACCACCCCCATGCGGTTATATACCGGATGGGGGTCATTTGAAAGGAGTTTGAGAAAAAGCTTAGGCTGCTCAAACCACCCCCATGCGGTTAGATACCGGATGGGGGTCTGTGATTGGGGTTTTGAGAAAAAGCTTAGGCTGCTCAAACCACCCCCATGCGGCATGAAAAGCCGGATGGGTTGAAAACATTTGAAATCATCAAAAAAAAAAAGAGAGAGAAGAGCAGCTGGTACCTTTGAGATTGAAGAAAGGGAACCCAACCGGTCGCCGGATGTGCTTAACTTGAAAGTGCGGGATGCAGAAACACTAAGGAAATGATGCAGCCGGTGGTAGAGCGCTCTCAAAATTTTTGAAAAGTATGTAAAGTGAGGAGGAGAAAGAGAGACTCATGTATTTATAGAGCAGGAGCAGAAGGCGAAACGATGCCTCCTGCCCTAAAAACTTGAAATTTGAAAAAAAGGAGGGAAGAAGACGAACCGTCTCCTCCCTTACGTCTGACACTCGTCACAGGTGACACGTGGACATTCCACGTCACACCTGTGAGGGGCAGATGTTTAGGGTAAAAATAACCCTAAGCCACGTGGCCCAATAAAGGCCTGCCACGTGTCAAGCTTGCAACGGTCAGCAAAAGGCTCAATTCCTTTGCGACACGTGTCATTAAACCCTAATTGAGGTACAGTTCTCCCTACTATAAATAGTAAGGGCAGACCTCATTAATGGGGATCGATCCATCGAATCATCTTCCAAAAACCAACAAAACACAAATTCCCTTGCAAACGCTCTCAAATCGAGAAGCATTTATTGTCTTATTTCCACATTTAGAAAGAGACTAACTTAATCTTCGGAGGCGGAACACCCCAGCCCCAGCCGGAGTATTCCGTTCTTTGTGCAGGTACCGGCGAAGGAAGGAGCATACTAGGAAATTGTAACTCTCCCGTAGGACACATCAAAAACCCCCAAACAGCTGGTACGGTTATTTATTTTTTAATGTGTACTTGAACTGGTATGACTATTGAGTTAGGATGGTTTTAAGTGTCTTACTAGATTTGTGGTGTCAATTATTCAACTTAACAACAATTTATCTTTTTGAAGCTGGATGTATTGAGTGTGCGATCAATTATCAATTTATCATCAATTCAAACTTAGGCAAACCATTGATTGGACTTGTTCAAATAAGTCATGGTTAACTCTACCTAATGACCATCTCTAGGTACAAGTGTGAGCCTCGGTTAGGTCATAGGACCTCCTCTTATAAAATAGCTCAACTCTCTAAGGAGGATTAGGCTTTGCATGATTCAACATTTATCCTGGTTTGGCATATATTAGGCCAAGGCCTAAGGTTGTTAAGCATAAACGAATGGAAGGAATTCGTATCATCAAGTTCAGTTCTTTTCATCTAAAATGCATGATAAATAAAGTAGAAAAAAATCTCTTAATTAATGCGGTATAATCGAATCTACAGTGTATCTATATCCTTTATATCTATTACATTAGTAAACTATTACGAAGTGCATCCTACCAAACATATATTTAGATTCGATCCTAAAAGTTAAAAATTTAAAATGTTATATTGCCATTATATCCTCAAATTTCATCATTGAATAAATATCTCATGCAAGAATCTGATCCTCTCAGCTATAAACTAGGATTGTACATTACCAATTTTAATTTTTTATAAAAAACATTCACTAACTCCAAACAAAAATCCTTTAAAAAAAGAATAAATTAAAAATTAGATATTGCATAGACAAATTAGTAGTATTTAACAATTCAGATGGTAATAAAATCTCAAAAATCCTCTATATTCTCAAGTCATGTATTAATGTATATCCGACCGTTAATTAGAGAATTAAAAAATCTTAAAATCACGAAAAAAAAAAAAAAAAAAAAACTTATTCCAAAAAACAAGAGAGACAAGAAATAAAAGCCAATTAATGATACTTCATATTCCGTACTGTACATTGTATGTTAACATGACTTCATCCTATCCATTAACAATAATTACAATAGTTGAGTAATAATCTCTATAAAAATCAAGAAAATCCCCAAATAATAACAGTAAGGTCAGTAACAATTAACATGTCCAAAAGTTCATCTTTAATAGTGGGGTTGTTTTTGTACAGTTTCTCGTGACATCTACTTTGTTCCTTCAATTCTCCCCACAAAACAAAACCGCCCATTTTTTGCTGCTTCTTGCTTACTTTACTTCACTGTCACAAGCAACATACACATCCCACCATTTTAATTAAAGTTTTATAATTTTAATTACTGAAAGAAATTCAGTAAATTGAGCAATAAACAAAGATTTTTGTGGATTGGATCTCAACAGTAGTTTTTTTGATTGAATATATCTAATTTGGTGGGTGGTTGAGCATCTGATTCCATTGTTACTTTGCTTTGCAACAATACCCAATTCAAGGTGTGATCTTTTTCTCTCTGTCAATAAATTTTGATTTTAGCTTTATTTTTCTTGCTTAATTTATTGATTTATTTTTCTGGGTTTTTAATTGATTGACTCTTATTGACTGATTAGTTATTATCAATCATTTTTTAATTTTATTTAGGTTTTTTTTTTAATTATATTATAATAATTTATAATGGGGGTTTGTTGAATTTGCTTGACTTGATTTGTTTTGGAATTTGAATGTTCTGTTGCTTTTTTTGATTGGGTATATCTTTAAGGGTTTCCTGTAATGCTGTGGCAAAATTGTTGTGAAGTTCTTTTGGGTTTATGTATGAACTTGTTGTGTATTTGAGGTTCTTTTTTAAGAAGTGTTGCATTGATGATTTGGGTTTTTAGAGGGTTTTGCAAGGAGCTTTTGTATGGAAGTAGTTCAGACACTTTTGCATAGAATGCGAGCTGATGTTTCATGTTGATTGCTAAAATGTGTCTTGGCTGCCTTCTAAGAGGCTCGATTAGGCGCTTTCCGCTTTTCGTGTGAGTCCATAGAAGACTGTAGTTTACCATTTGTTAGGTATGTTGGAGTTTAGATGTGCTTTTAAGCAACACAATTTTCAGAGGGTAGAGTGTATGCGAAGACTGTACTAGCCAGTTCGCAACTTTACTGCTTGTAGCATGTTTCCTGGGGTTGCTGTTTGTCTTGGGAAGCATTACAAGGCGGTTGTGTGTATGCAATCACGTACCTGAATGCTCTTCTTTTCGTTTGCCCTTGCCTTTTCAAAATCTCACTAGATCTAACTTCATATGTTGAAAAAGTTTTTGCGACTTATATTCGCGTTGAAAATATTTGAACTTTTAAAGAGTGTGTATAAAGTCAAGGCAGTTAAGTTATCCTAGGTGGACTTCAAACACATCAAGAGTTGACTTTTATGGACTATAATGGATTCATATGACATAAGTGATGTTCATGGCCTTTGGCACTGTTCAGCAGAAAGAGAGAGGGGTGGGGGACATTCACATGAACTCAGCTCCATATGTTCAATTGCAGTCAGGCACCTTTAGCCTCACTCCTACAGCTGAAAGACATCATTTCCTTTTAATTATTTGATTCGAAAAATAACTGAATAGCCTAGCTATTAGCTGCTTCAACTTAGTGGACAAGGTTGAAAAGGGGGGTTTGGGGGGGGGGGGGGGTTGTGATAGTTTAGATTTTTCTTCTTTCTTTTAACTTATTCTGGTATGGCTTAATTGAATTATACATATTTTCAATTTCATTCCTTTATTCTGAATGAGTGGCACTCAAACTCGCAAAAAGGGAAAAGACTCGAAATTTTGTGCATTAAGTGCTCTTATAGAAATAGTGCCTCTATTTCATATTATGTGCGACATTTACTAAAAATGGTTGCTAGATATTATGTGAAACAAATGTTTTCTTTCCTTTTTAGGTTGTCAATTATCTCTATCGCTACTCATCACATGCATCACTATTTCTCTCTCCATTCACCAAACAAATTTTGTCTAGGAGTCCGTACAAGCTCATTTGTTGCACATAATATGAAACAGAGGTAGTATAAAAACATAACTTTTTATGTAGGATGTTGGAACTTTGGAGTTGCTTATTTGGTAGTTCTTAACCAATTGCATTGAAGTTGGATTGGCTAAAGTGATATTTAAGCTTTTGATATCTTGATCCGATGAAGTAAATCGCAGCTAAAACCTTCAACTATGTGTTTATATGTTGTTGTATTGGCTTTGAAATACTAGTGTGCAGAGTTCACAATCTGTTCCTTTTTTTTTGTTATGTTTGAGACACTTGCAGCACTACATGGACTTAACATGATTTCAAAATGTTAGTTATGTTCATTGAAAAAATATACCATGTGATTTATGTAGGTTTCAAGGCATGCTCCAGAAAGTAAGGTTTTCCTTATATCGAAAACAGTATCTCGGCGTGGTGAGAGGAAAATAATGCTGTAATTCTAAGCATCAAGCCATCAACACAATGTTTCGAGCTAAAAACTTCAATTGTATCTATCCTTTTTTACTTCAGTATAGTAGGCCTACCAAATCTATATGGGGATATTGTTGCTCCTCATCTTTTTCTTAGAGAAGCACAGAGGGAAATTTATTAATTTGATTACAGTCTTACTTGAGCTGGTTGAATGATATATGACTTTGTAAGTATTTCTTTTTTAAGTCATCATATCAACCTGCATGATGGGTAAGGAAAACCAAAAAGAAACCATGAGCCTAGAAATTAGTAGCAGAAGCTCTTCACCAACTAAAAGCAATAGTTCAAGGGCTTCAACTGCATCACAGCTCAGTATAGATAGGGATTTGGGCTTGCCCGCTTGTCGTGTGTGCCAATGTACTGAATCTGACCGAAGAGGGGATGCTGCTTTGGGGTTTTTAGGGATAGATCCCTTTCTAGAGGAGTCACATAATGTGAAGGAGCTACATGAGCCTCACAAGAAAATAGCCCATAATGAAGTTGAGGGTAGCGCATCAGTGGACACAAATCAGAAAATGCAGCCTGGGTATGTGCAATTCATCAGCCCTACAGGAGAGGTTTTTGTTTGTAATACAGATGTAGAAATGGGAGCATGTCATAAACGGGACACACTAATTGAACTTGGATGTGCTTGTAAGAATGATCTTGCCCTTGTACACTATGCTTGTGCTCTGAAATGGTTTGTTAATCATGGGTCTACTGTCTGTGAAATATGTGGATGTGTTGCAAGTAATATTAGCACTGCTGATTATAAGAAAGTCCTTGCTTCTTTGAAAGATTATGAGGCATTACGTGATAGGACTGCAAGTGGGGTACCTAATCCTGCACAAGTACATGGTAGTTCTGGGGTTGATCCTGATGCTGTTGCAGCTATTCGCAGGCAGCGGCTTAGTGAGGTATATTTGTGGTTTAATCCACATGGTCACCACCGTCATAATAATTTCAGCAGTGAAAATGCCCCTGCAATTCTGGTTGTTACAGAACCACCTGCAAATATTGTCGTTCAAGATGTCACGCCTCCTCAGAATCCAGCTACAAAATGGGCTGTGGAAGGTACGGGCATTTTGCTAGCAACAGGCCTGCTTACTATTACTCTTGCATGGCTCATTGCTCCTCGCGTTGGAAGGGTACGTTTGGTTTAATGTTTGTATATATTTAGATTATCATTTTCTCTTATTTTCTTGCAATATTAAATTATAAATTACATGTGGAATTCCTCACTAACTCACTTATCTCATTGAGGAAGTTGAAAAGATAAATCTTAGATTACAATATAAATTTGAAGTCATAGTAATTATATACATATTTTTGCCTAATATAAGATCCGTGTTTCATTTTTCTATTTACTTGTTACATTCTCCGAAAAAAAAAAATCTACTCTCGAAATGCTCATCTGCACGAACTTTGCATTTTGGCTTAATTACATAAATTGGTGAAGGTGATAAATGTCGTTTGGGCTTTGCTGCAACAAATAAGGATTCTTTTAGTCACATGTTAAACAATCATTTTGGGGGGTGAGTTGGTAGATACATAGGTACAGAGGACCTCCTGTCCAAGATCTTATTGATGATTAGTTTGAGAACTTGGTTAAACAAGAGAGTATATTATCTTCACCTGAAAATAAGGTGCTCTTGTTTGTTCTAGTCTATTTGATCTCATCTCTGTACCTTGACCACACTTTTATGCTAATGTGTAAAATTTACTATGTTAAAGTGAGATCTCATGAAATATACCTTAACGTGTATCTTGCAATCATCTAATTGTCATATTTCGTATTTGTATGGAATTATGACTATTTGATAATAAGGAGCCAGGAATAACATCTTATTTGGTATGATGACTTTGGTCTAATTGTTCTAGTCTCATCTGATATGATATGTTTCTCATAATTAATAAGCTGATTGAATAAGGTTATTGTTCTCTTCACCTGAAATAAGGTGATTTGCTCTAATCTAATCATACCATAATTTGACTAAGCTTTGACCATTTTTTTTTTTTTTTTTTGCTAATGTATAAGAAAAAACATTGTCTAGTGGGATGAGATCTGTTAATGTGTATTTTCCAAAAAATGTATTATCATTATTTTTTGTCAACCTGCAACTAAAAGATACGGAGTACATATTACGCAAGTGATAAAGTTCTTAACTTATATAAGGTGAAGAGAAAAGATTCATAAGAACCATAACTTAAAGCTCATGTGTACAACAAAGGCCTCTCTACACCTGTGTGATTGATAAATTATGAAAATGTCAGCAGTTCAGATTCCTGTGTTCTTAGGTTGAATCTGCTGTTCATAAATGCTGACAAGGGAAGCAAAATTGATCCCTTGAGGGCATAAATGATAAACTACACAATATATTTTTGAATATGAAAACTTCTGATCCCCTGTACAGTTCAGACTTCAGAGTGACCCTTTTGGACTGATATATGGTGTTACTGCTGTTCCTGTTTACATCCAAGAGCAACCAGTCACTTTTTTACGTTTTTTGACGAGAAGTCATTGATATTTTCATATGGATATAATGGCTAATTAAGTTTGCTTTTGGCACTTGTCTTTGATTTTGTTTGGCATAATAATTTTGTATGATCTGACAAGTGGACAAATGATAGTTGTATCAAATAATATTTTCATGCTTTACAATATAGCTGTGTTCTTATTTGCAGAAAACAGCAAAAAATGGTCTTCATATTCTTCTTGGAGGTGTTTGTGCCTTAGCTGTTGTTGTCTTCTTTCGCTTTGTAAGTAGTTATCTTCGCCTTTTATTGAGGTGTTTTACATGCAGTGTATTTAAGTTTGTGTTTTGATTTGCTTTAAGTTCATTTCTGCTATCTGTAGCAAATTGTCCTGTTTTTTTCTTTTTAATCACCCGAGATCACCTATATGTAATAACGAGATGTTAAGAATATAGGAGCCATCTGAAGGAAATGCACTGCACATATAGTGGAGTAGTGGACCATATGATTTACTAAGTAGAATAGAAGCCTAAGCATTAGGTCTACACATACAAAATAGATACATTGTGCATGTGTGCATACTTACATTCATTACTTACATATTGCAACACAATACGCCTATCAGCATATGTGTTAGTTGCAAATGTAATTGAATTATCAATACATCATGTTTGACCTTCTACCTAGTCATAATTGGTCTCACTTCCCATGTGTGTAACCATTATGTGTAAGGTTGCTTTTTTTTTTTTGGACAAGAATATGTGGAAGTATATTAGTTTTTGACATAAATCTAGGCCTTAGTCGTGCTACTTTCCTATTTTGTTTTAGTTGCAACATTTTAACTTTTACGTTTGTCAAACGTAAATAATATCTTAGATTACAATTGGCAAAATTTGGAATGAGACGGTCATGCAATAATTTGCTCTAAACTTGAGTGGTTTTTTTCCCCATAGGGTTTGTCTTATTAGTTTTTTTCAAGGGTATCCTTTAATGTTGCACAATAAAGAGCCATGCTTTTGGTCATCAAAGAGCCTCCTAATTATATTGGCAAGGCTGTGTTCTGAGTTGAGGAGTTGCTATCATGAATTGATGCAATTTTCTTGAAATTTTTGCAGGTTGTACTAACCAGGATCAAATATGGACCAGCACGATACTGGGCGATCTTGTTTGTATTCTGGTTTCTTGTGTTTGGTATATGGGCATCACGGACACATACTGCACATACAACATGAATTCTGTTATGATATGTACGTCTATGATATGTTTATAAAGTCTGTTTCTGTGAATTTTTCAGTCTTGAAGGTGGACGATTTTTGCGTGGAAATTTTAAAGTTGTTTACATTGTAATTAATGGCTAGGTCCTGTCAATCTTTGACAAAAGACATGGATTCATTACCAGATTTTAGTGGGTAATGTTATAAACAATCACTTGATATTATAAACAAGTGCTAGTAAAAACTCAGTCCAAATGATTATGCAGAAAGCAGACTATACCGGAACACTTGTAGAATTGTAGGGATCAGATGGCCGGAAGCTCCGATTACTGCATTGCATTTGTAGGCATACAGTAATCAATAATATCAGTACCAGATAACCCAAATATTAATGGTGATCGTTTCCATCCGAACAAAACCCAGCCCTTTTTTGCTGTGATAGGTACGATTATAGATTGAATCAGGGAGTTGATCCTATGGATTGTGCAACTATCACAAATAATAATCACTTAATATTAGCAATTGCTTTTGATGAATGATAAACATGAAAAACATTAGGAGCGAAGTAATAATTATACTGCATTTAATGATTTGTAAATATGTGCTGGATTCGGGTATAATCAGGTTATAAGCAATAGTTGCTGTGCTGCTCTAATATCTCTGGAAACTGATGGAAGTCACTGTAACATTGAGTATGATCTGAATGTATCTGCCTTCGTCGAATCCAACAGGGTATTACCTGCGCTGCTCCCAGTAACATCTGCCATTGATTCTGATTACTCATGCTTTATCTCTAAATGTTCATTATGTTGCTACCTAACATACGAAAAAAAAAAAAAATTCCAACACACAATAAAATACAAAACCAGATTGATGATGAACAACTTTCCTTCTGTTTCTACAAAATTTTATTTCACATCATTACTTGTACAATTTTTGAGATTATTTTCAAGCTTACAAAAGAACAAGATAAAAGGATAAAAACAAATCCATAGAATTATATTGCAAGAATTTGTACAATCTTTACCAGAAGCCTCCATAGCATGTCTCCGTCATGAGCACGAAAACAATCGATTTAGCTCCATGCTTCTGCGTGCGTGGATTGGCAACAGCTACGGAGTACATTACTCTTTACAGCAATGGCTATTGGCTACTTAAGAACAAGGATCCAAAGTTGATCAATGAGCATTTAATCGCCATCATAGTCACCATAATTGTCCGTGCAAACCACAGAAGTGAGGGCTGACACCCATGCTTGCAAACCACTATTAGTATCCTTCTTCCTTTCTACCTCTAGCTTAGCAACAGCCTGCTTGGGAACTCCAGATTTCACAAGAACAAATCCAAGTGACTTATAAGTGGCATCATCAGGTTCAATCTCAAGACTAATCATCTCCTTGAAAATCGAAACAGCCTCCTTTAGTCTTCCAACAACAGCAAATAGAGCAAGCACATTGTTATAGCTCAACAGCTCCGTCAGAAGTCCTAGTTCCTGCATCTTTTCTGCAATTTCCATTGCTTCATCTAGTCTGCCTACCCGTTTGTACATGCAAAGCATCATTGCATATGAGAATTCATTTACTTCACCTCTTTCCTGCATATCATCAAAAATTTCTTCTGCTTCCCTAACCATTGATCGTTTGCTATACAGATCAATAATACAATTTGAAGAATATACATCTGCACCCTTCTCAAATGATCGAAGCAGTTTGTAAGTATCTAATGCTTCTTCTAAGTATCCAACTTTTGTATAAAGTTTGATCAAGGAGTTACAGATTACATCATTCAACGAGAGATCTGCCTCTTTCAGAGCATCAACGTAATCCATGGCTTCTGTAACATTTCCACTCTCTGCAGAAGCATTAATTAGCACACCATAAAGAACAACATCAGGTTGCACATTGTAATTGATCATCTCCTTGTACAAGCTTTTGGCCAATTCCAACTGACCAAGCTTTGCAAAGCTTGAGATCAGGGCACAGTATGGAACACAATCATTCACTAGGCCTGCTTTCTGCATCTTCAACAGATAGGGCTTTGCAACATGAGGCAAATCCGCAGCTGCTAGCGATTGTATGAGAGATATATAGCTACATCTGTCTGGCAGAACACCTAGCTTCTCCATACTATCAAACAACTGACATGCTTTATTGTACTTCTTACCAATGCCATAAGCTTTGATCATCACATTGAATTCCAACACACCTATTTTGTTCTTCTCTTGGCAACAGACAAAAACTTTCTCAGCTTCATTAACATACCCACGCTCTCCATATGCATCAATGTTAGCAGAATAGCATTCCGAGGTCATTTTACCTTCAAAGTGGAAACGTTCAAACCATGACCATGACTTTTCAAGCATGCCAGCGTCAATATACATTCTAGTCAGGGCAGACTGCGTAAATTCATCCATTTCAAGACCCCTCTTATCCATTTCTGAGATGAGCATCTCTGCTTCAAAAACCATTTGCCTTATAGAGAAAGCATACAAAAGGGTGCGATAACTCACAGGATCCGGTTGTAGGCATGCCTGTTTCATTTGAGCAAAGTAACTAAATGCAAGGTTGATATCATCACGCTTAGCATAAAGGGATATAAGAATGTTATATGTTCTAGTATCAGGGTCGCGGTTGAGTTCTTTCATCTTTCGCACCAATTTGTTAACCTCTTCCAACCTGCCAGCATTTCCATAAATGTGAATCATTGTATTGAAGGTTATTGTATCAGGAATAACTCCTTCACCTAGCATCTTCTGAAAGGTTTGAGACATTTCCTGAAGCTGCCCTGATTTCCCATACGTGTCAATGAGAGTATTATATGTATACAAGCTCAAACTAAGCTGCGCCCCAGAATTCACCTTAATCGTGCTAGCTCTGTGTGATTCGAGTGTACTCTTCCCTTTTTTTGATTTATCCAAAGACCACACTTTAAAGAACTCCTCAGCTTTTCTAAACTCCCCTGCTTTCTTGTACATTTGGAGGACAATTCCCATAGTAACCTCATCAGGCTCCATGCCTTGTTCATTCATTCTTTGCAGCCAAACTAAAGCCTCCTCTCTAAGACCGCCTTTGCTATAAACATCAATAAGTGTACCATAGGTAGAATTAATCGGTGCAATCCTCTTCGCCTTCATCTCATCCCATAATCTTTCTACTTCACCCCATTGCCGCGCTTTTCCTAGAACTCGAAGCATAATGTTATAATGAATCACATTCAACTCATAACAACCCTTCTTCTTAAACCACTCAAAAATCTCCAATGCCCTCTCCCAACTCGACTGTTCCTTCAAAATGATACTCCTCTCCTTGTTGCTAAGACTCTCTTCCCACGGCCTAAACGCCTCGTCTAAGTCACTAATACTCTCCAACGCCAACAATATAGACGGAATACACCCTCCATAAGAGGACCATTTCGTCGAACACTTGGTGTGCAACTTTTTTGTAGGAAAATTTCCACGCCCACCTTCTAATTCAACCACACCATTAATCTTATTTTGATGATTTTGACTCTTCCCAGATTTTAATTTAGCCAATTCATCAACAGAATCATGTGGGTTTTTACTCAATTTATCAATTGCACCACTTGGGTTGATATTCTGCTTCTCCAATCTTCGGAATTTCTTGTGCCCTTTACTGGGTATTTCAAGAACGTTTGAATTTCTGGGTTTTTTGGAAGAATCATGAGTTTCAAGAGGAGAAACTGAGAATCTAATGGTGAACGAGGTATGTAGATGACAAGGTGACTGGAAAAAACAGCTGATATCAAAGCATTGGGCTTTACTGAACATTTCTTTATTGTTGATTAAGCAAGAAATCTTGCTTCAAATTCAAAAATGTTGGAGTGAAATTGGTTCTGTAATTTGGTTAATTTTGAGAGAGAAAGAGGGAGAATTTGGAAGTAACCATTTGGAGAGAAGAAATGGATAATAGAGGAAGGCGCGGTTTGTTAGAGGGAAAGGAAAACTAAGGTTAAAATAAGTTTGACTTTTTTTTTAGGGATGTTTAAGGAATTTGACTTGATTTTAGGAATACAGTATCAAAACTCGTGGTTTTGTCGATTTAATATTTACGGGTAAGACACTTAAAAGTTGAAAGTAGGGGAAAATAGTAACATAATCTTTACTTTAACACTCGTCACATAAACACTTACTTGCTTGATATACTTAAGGTGACATTGATAGCACCCGGTGGTGGAGGCAATGTGGAACAAAACAATATTGAAGAATCAAAGAGGGAAAAAAAAATGAGAATATGCTAAAGTTAAGGGTCTATTCTGATTGACTGGACTGAATATTTTATGAAAAGGGGATATTAAGAATTGAACTGAATATAATCTGATGAGAAAAAACCCTAAAATTGAAATTTTCATGTTTACCCATTATTTGATAATTTTGACGGTATGATTCGGTGATTAATTTGCATTTTTCAATTAATTCAGAAAATTTCAAGTAATTTTTTTTAAATGTTTTTTGTCAAATTATGAGACATCCATAACCTATAGTCTTTACCTCGGGCTAAACTCTTGGCATCGCCACCGGTTACATACAAGATTACCATTTATTACACCATTTTGTAAATTCATAGTAGTAACCTGTAATTTTGAAGAGAATTTTATATTCTAGTATATTTTGATTGTCACATAATTGGATTCTAGTAGTACTCCCTCCGTTACCGGTTATGTGCAATGATTAGACGAATGTGGTACTTAAAAATGATGATTAATTAAAGTTTGGCTTGAGTAAATCTTTATGGTCACCCTACTAGACCCATTATAGTCAATTCTCCATTCTCCTTCAAGACTTGCAAGAAAGACACAATAACAAATTCACAAATTACTAAGGGGTCGTTTGGTTCGCAGAGGGTAAACGGAATGGAATGAACAAAGGGATTCAAAGAGAATGGAATGAAGCCCATTCCATATAGCATGTTGTTTGGTTTACAAAAACAAAAGGGAATCACCACTGATTGAGGGATTTTGTTCCCACCAATCGGAATGCGCCACGTGGGCCAATCAGGTCCTGCCAAGTGTCCCCCAGTTGGACCTCTCAGGGCTTGCCACGTGGCACGCGCTTATTCGTCCACCTTGGACCTATTATGCCATGACATATGGCATACTCCATGCCTACTGGAGAATCCGGCCACCTTGGCCCAATTACCGAGGGAAGCCCAATCGGCCCAAGGTTAACCTAAACCTAGATTGGCACGTTTCCCGAGGCTATAAATACCTCTCTTAATCCTCATTAAGAGGGGAGAGAGAACAGGAAAACAGAGATTACTCACATTAAACACTCTCACCTAGAGAGACCCAATCACTTTAATTTCCGCATTAATTACTCCTTAATCAGGTACTAACTTGACCGTCGGAGGCGGAGCTCCCACCACAAGGAGTCTCCGTTTGTTTTGCAGGTACAGGCGTCCAGCTCCAGTCTCGGAATTGTAACTCTCCCGCAGGACATCAGAAAACCCCGAAACATTTTGGCGCCGTCTGTGGGGAGAGTACTTTTGAGATGGCATCCACGTTTGTACCGACTCCTGAAGAGAGGCGTCCCCTAGAAGACCCTCAAGTTCAGTCGGACCACGACTCTGAGAATGAATTTGAAGTTGAAACTCACACAGCTTCAGACGGGACCCTAAGGGCCCGACGAACCCGTCCTACCGAAAGGAGGGAGCGGGAACACTTTCAAGCAGAGCCAGCAGGCGCACCGCCTGGTCGGCAGCAGCCGACTGATGGATCTGCTCCCATTACAAGAAACGACCTCATGGCCTTCATGAAGGACTTCAAGGGAGAAATTCAATAATTAATCACTAAGAAGTCGCCTGCTCGGGACAAAGAGCAGTCGGCTAAGAAGCTTTCCCCCTCACGGAAGAGGAAGCCAGTTCAGGGGCGAGAGGCGACCCCTCATCCTAAATCTAGGAAGTGGGAGCCATCTGCCCTTAATCTCACAAAATACCATTTTCCTACTCCAGGAAATAGGAAACCTGTTCGTCATGTTCAGGCGGACGGGTCGAAGAAAACATACACAGACGCTCGGCTACTGCTAGAGCAGAAGAAGAGTGACCGACTGTCAGAGTCGGCCTCTACTTCAAATTTCCAAGATAGTCTGCGAAATACCTCGATGAGGCATACTCAGTCGTACCATGAGAGTCAGACAGGCGGCACCTCCCGTCAGTCCGGCTTTCATAGCGACCAGGCGGTACCACACATACCGTTTGTACCGCAACAACAGTATTTCTTGCAGCCACCTCCGTTTGGTGGACCTGCAGCAAAAAATGTCCAACCTATGGACTGGCAGCTACGGTTGCTTAGACTTGGTGAACAGCCGTCGGCCTTCTCCAAGGAAATTACTGAGGCCGCTCAGCCGGCCAAGGTAAAAAAATGTATTAGTAGGCGCCTATGATGGCACTACTAATCCAGAAGACCATCTGATGGCGTTCACCAACCTGATGTACCTTCAAGGGTTGGATGATCCCACTTGGTGCAAGTGTTTCCCAGCGACTCTCAAAGGAATCGCACAACAATGGTTCGGCAACCTGCCGACTGGTTGTGTAAATAATTTCAAGACGCTTGCTTACTTGTTCACCTCCAATTTCGCCATGAACATCCCTGCGAAGAAGACGACCCTTGACTTAGGGACAATTCAGCAGGGCGAGAAGGAGGGACTTCGTTCTTACATCAGGCGGTTTAACCTGATGAGAATACAGATTCAGGGGTTACCGGATGAAGTAGCCTATACTGACTTTTTCAGAGGTCTCAAAGACGGGTCGACCTTCAAATTCGATTTGGTTCGAAAGAGGGTGGCGACTCTTCAAGAGGCCTTGATTGAAGCAGAAGCCTATATACAGGCGACTGATCTTTGCAGTACAAAACAGTCGGACTGGAAAAGGTCTGACAAAAGAGAGGGACGACAGAAGCAGTCGTCCAACAAAGACGAGAAAAGAAAAGAGGTCTGGGTGGCTGACTCCTCTAAACAGCCGTCCCAGAAGAAGAAAAAAGAATTCAAACCATACTCCCCAAAGTATGCGTTTAACAAGGACAGCCAAGCTATCCTAAAAGAAATCAAGGGACGGATCTCAATTGAGAAGCCGGTCCCCATGAAAGGTTCAGCAAGCAACAGGAACCAAGAAAAATTCTGTGATTATCATGAAGATGTTGGTCATCACACCAAAGAATGCATCAGTCTCATGCAGTATCTGGACCGCCTGGCTGAGCAAGGTGATCTTGACTCTTATGTCAAGAAATTCACGGGGAACACTTCCTCGAAAAAGCAGTCGGCCAAAAAGAATCAACAGGCCGACAGCTCTGACACGGATGATGCAGTCGTCTACACCATTGCAGGCGGCTTCTCAGGAGGCGGCCCCACTATTAGGGGCAACAAAGACAATATCAGGCGGTTAGATATAAATTCCGTTCACCAAGAACGGCCCTCCAAATATTCATTTCCTGAGATTGTCATCACTGAAGAAGATCTAGGAGGGGTAAGAGGGCCGCATGACGACCCTATCGTCATTGAATGTAAAGTAGCCAACCAAAGAGTTGGCCGGATTCTCATAGATACCGGAAGCTCCTCAGATCTCATCAGTAGCAAATGTCTGTCAAAGCTCAAATATCAGACTGATTGCATACACCCGGTATCCCACCCTCTAGTAGGGTTTGGAGGGGGAGTCGTCCACCCAGTGGGACGAGTAGATTTGCCCATCCGCCTGGGTGAGAAAGGGGAAGGACGACACATGGTAGTCCGGTTCCTGGTAGTAGACGAGCTCTCGGCTTACAACATGATTCTGGGACGACCGACCCTGAATAATTCCAAGGCTATTATAATCCCATCTCTTATGCTGCTCAAGTTTGAGAGGGATAATGGAACAGTCGGTTCCCTAAAGGGAGATCAGAAGATGGCCCGAGAGTGCTACCTCTCGGATATCAAGCCCACTGCTATGGCCGCTAGGTCAGGTGGTGGAAAAGCAGACCTTGACAATGTCAAGGAGAGTGCGCCTGTTCATAAAGCAGGCGGCAAGAAGAGAAAGGCATCCCAGCCGTGAAGTCAAGGGCTACTTAATAAAAGTTTGCATACTTGATATTCAATTTTGTACTTAAGAGGGGCACGCCTACTAATAAACAGTCGGCTACTCTCCATAGTTTTTACATAAGAGGGGCATGCCGACTGATAAACAGTCGGCTACTCTCCGTGTTTAAATTCATACTCTCCATTGAGTATTTTATTACATCTTCAGAGGGGCATGCCGCCTGTACTTCTACAGTCGGCTACTCTCCATGATTAAATTCATACTCTCCATTGAGTATTTTATTACACCTTCAGAGGGGCATGCCGCCTGTACCTCTACAACCGGCTACTCTCCATTCAGTGAATCACTATCACCAGAGGGGCATGCCGTCTGGACATACAGTCGGCTACTCTCCATAGAAGATTGCCGACTGGCTCCAAAGCAGACGGCCACTCTCTTATACTTAGCTAAAAATGATCAGGGCCTGGCCGATTCTGTGCCTAAACAGGCGGCTACCCTCCTCTAACTTAGCACATACGTTCACCAAGAACTAACCAAGGCAACAAGCCGAATGATCAGTCCAGGCGCCTAGCCAACTGATCCAATCTTTAAATTCAATTCGACCTGTCCCAACATTATAGCAGGCGTCCGGCGGCATCCCTCCGGATGAAATTCGTCGCAGAGAGCAGCTCCCTTTTGGGTGGAACATTGCTCTATAAACTAATTACACGGCACCTATACGACTGCCCCCAAGGGCAGCCACGTAGCCGTTTCTGAGACAAGGATAACTCTATCACTAACCAAACCAGTGGTAGCAGTTGACATCTGAGTCGGATGACTCCCTGTATTACTTGGGATAAATTCAGGGGGTACCTCTTGAGTTAATAGCCAACAAACATTGGCGAATCAAGGGGATCAGCCGGCCTCCGCCGCCTGATACCTCTACTACTCAAGCAAGAGTGACGGCGACTGAGTAAACACCAACGTTAACTCATAGTCACTCCCTCAAACTTGGTATGGAGCCTAAAAGGTTTGAGTAGGCCG